GAGGGGAGGGGAGAAGGTGGCGGAGTGGCGGCAACGTGTTGTAGCCGAGATCTAGGTTTTTAAGTGATTACTAACACTCCTATTCCTGTTCAGCGAATAAGATCGGCTCAAAAGTTTCTCCCCGCCTAACACATAAGTACCGGAGTACTTTTACAGATTCCATAATTTGGAATAACTCTATCAATACATTCGGCAGTGGTCTGATTCTGGCATCACAAAATTTTTTAAACGACAATAATAGCAGAGGAGTGCTATTGAGCTTTGAATGGACATGTGAAAGAACTAGTCACAAATCTTTGACAGGATTTTCATAATATTTTGACAAAATTGAAGTGCAATGGAATAATTTTAGTGGCACTACACACACCGTTCCCGTGTAGCAACAGGTTCTGTTAAACTAACTGGCGGCCACATGGACTATAAAACCTTTTACTACGTCCACTAATTTAGGTGAACGCATTGGGTTAATGCCAAGGGAACTGCGGTTTATGGTTGTTGAAAATTGCCGTTTGGTAATGAATTATTTTCTTGATAATAAATGTGATTATGTTGCACACTTCAGTGCTCATTATTCGCTTACTTTTGCTGCTGATGACATAATACTTACTGTTCACACTTTTTATTCTATGGAAATGATGTTGGTGCGGTGCCAAAGTAAAACAGCAAAGACAACTGGAAGCATCAACAAACCATTCGTCCCAGTAACTGCTACCAAACGAACACAAGAAGTTTTGTAAAGGGGACGAATTTCAACAATGTATAAGCAGCAACTACTTTTGTCCCAACCTCATCAGATGTCATGAAAAAGTAATCTTCAAAGCTGATCATCCTAAGACACGAGGCGTTGCAGAAGAACGCAACGTTGGCCATTCTACCATTCTCATTGTTTCAGCACGGTTTGGAACCGCAATTACTTTTGCACGGCTTGATAGAAATCCTCTCACAATGACATACTCCATCAAGGACTTGCCAAAGTTACTGCTTAATCGTAAAAAGGATAGCGATACATGGACCTTGAAGTAGTATTTTCTGTCGAATATCGAATTTTTTATTTTTGTGTTATCGGATTATCCTTGTTCCAATTATGTGTAGTGCGTAGTTTATACTTGCGCAACAAAGTTTTATATAGAGAGTTCTTCATTGATCTTTCTCCTTGATAATAGAGCAGATTGTTCGTCTAATTCATTCAGCCTTTCTTGAATGAATGACTTTAGAATTTTGCCTACTTTTATTTTTTGAATGGATAGAATTTTGAGAACTTTCCTAATTTGTCTCGCGATTCAAAGTCTTTTACTCTTCTTTGGACTGCCTTGGTAGTACTTCTCTCCAAACAGTTCGGTAGTTATCTTTATGAATTGTTATTTTTATTCAGTTATTGGTGTTGTACACAACATTTCTTGACACCAGTACCTGTATTCTACTGGGACCACATTATTTCTGTAATATATTGTTAATACTGTGAAAAACAATATATCAAGTAAATTACATAATCTTCGGTGATTAAGGAAAAGCACAAAGTTGATAAAAGACAATGAAGTAAATGATTTTTATAGTCAAAGTTAGCGGAAAAGTTGGTTTTTTTACGAGTATTTGTTCGTCACTTACGAATTTCTTACTCCTGAAAGTACCTGACGAAGTCAAAAATGCAGGCGAGTTAGTAATACTCATTTTTGGGAGCGATTTTTTTTTGTTATAAAAAAAACGACGTCTGTAAAATAAAAATGGTTTTAGATTATGCAATTTTGAATTTGAGAATGTCATTGCTATTTTAAGCAAAGACATGCATTTTTTGAAAAATGTGATTCGTAATCATAGAATGAGTGTTTTTCACATGTTATATAAGTAGTCAGTGGACCTACTATTTTTTGCCAATAAATGTTTATAGGCGAAAATAATATATATATTTATAATATATATATATATATATATATATATATATATATGAAGAATATGTATATGGAATTCTTCTTATCTCACCGCTTTTAGAGGTGGCATGTTGTTGTAGATATACGTAATGATGTTGAGTGATGTGCAAAACTTTTGCGTTAAGCGGGGCTTGAATCCGCATGTCACCCTGCAAGGGGAGCGTATCTAACTCGTCGCACTACTGATACCCGTTTTGCCACCACTCTTTCTATGCTACAACGCATCTAGCATTCCGCAAGCAACCGTTAACGGTTTTGGCCCGGGTAGCCGATACCGACATAGAACCCGCTCACGCTTACAGATTGTAATGTATTGGATAATGATGATCAAGATGCTTTGTAGCGTAGAAAGAGTGGTGGCGAAACGGGTGTCAGTAGTGAAACGGGTTACAGCACGCGCCCTATGTAGGGTGAAATGCGGGTTCGATTTATGTATGTACATACATATATATATATATATATATACACCTATATATTTACATAACCATGTGAGCGTTGTATTTATCCTGCATTCATCCACCTTACTTCTTGCAGGACTTGCCCTCAACAGAGAGCTATCTGAAGTCACCAACACTATCTCCATACCAAAAGCTATTGGGCCACAAAAACGATACTCCAATATTCCATACTGCGCAGCACCACAGGTTGTTTTGAAGAGCACCGAAAGACTTTGTTTGGCTTCAATATACATTGTCTCTAGACTGTTCGTGACTGCTACGCAACGTATCTCGAAAAATACGGCATTCATTCGGGACCGTATTATCTTCCAGAGTACAATCGACTAGATCTGCAATTGAAAACTATGCCTCTCATGAATGTATGTCGGTAAGCGGATTGCTTTTTTTATATCGTCTTTCTATTCCCCATAATGGGCTATATAGTCCGGTGAGATAACAGCATCGCTTAAACGACATCTAGTTGGGTAAACCAACAAAAAAAGTTTCCAATTACTTGAATCATTAATCTATGGATCCTTCACAAGCACTGGGCTATATACTTCATCACATGGTGGCTTAAAAGCTCCTTATACTGCACCTGCATTTTCCGAAGCCTGAATTGAAGAAAAGAACTTACAAATAAAGAGTATCCGGAAGGATTTTGGTAGAGTTAGTCAGACTGAATGAGATTTTTGAGCACTTTGTTCAACTTCTTGGTCCTCCATGTGAAACACTGCTGTGGACTTCGTACACTTTTCGTTGTTTTTCTCACATATTCTTTCGGTCTTACCCGATTTATTTTAATTTTTTGACGAATTGTAGCAGCTCCCGACGCGATAGGAAAGTAGTCATCTGGTGAAATAATTATCAGCATCACTCCTCTCCCAGTACAGTGCTGTCGGGTTATTATTTTGTTTCCAGTGAAATCTTTCCTCTTTCATTGGTTGCAGATGATATCGCTACGATGAATATTACTACGGATAAATTTCTTAGTCGTCCAAATCATTATTTTGAATTAAGCTTTTTGGCTAGCATATAAACGACAGGTGGATCACAGGTGAATCACAACCTAACATTTTAACTCTAACACTCTCACGACGAGTGACACTTACAGGTGTCATAATAAGTTAGTGGAAGTAGTCGAGAAGATACCTATAGGAGTAATTCATTCCGGTGACTTATTTCGGTGAGAAGTTTTTATTCGACATCTTGTGATCAATCGGTATCTTATCCAACGCAGTTGCTGTAGCGGGTCATCGAGAGTGTCGTATTAAGAGTTTTTCCCCTATGTTTCTAACTTTAGCTCAATACTTTTACGACACTGTGAATCAAGAAAGTGTGGCCATCAGAGAGAAGCATAAATATCTCTGCCTCAATGAACTGGCTTCGCACGCACCTTAGAGCATGATTTTTGACAGTGAATTCTTTTCATCCCCTTTACTATTAGCATGACGACATTTAGGTAATGTATGAGTAGATATCATGCTTCTTGCATGACATGTAGCTTTTATATGCGACAACGTATGAATGCATAGTGGTCGAGTGTTTTTTTTTTAATCTCCACAAAGATGTTTTGTATATGCACAAAAAAAAAACGTGGGAGCACGTAGAGAAAGCTTACAGAGGAGGAGAGAAGGAAAAATTTTTTTCAAAAAAGACGGATTTATTGAACAGATTTGCATTCTAGGAAGGCGGGTTGCATAGAAACTGTTAGAGTTGCCGATGTGACGTCTTAGGTGCCACAGTGAGCACAGCGAAAGTTGAGCGTCGTACATTCGGCACCAGATTAGAGATAAGGCGTCACATCGTATTGATGAAGACAATACGTCTGACCTCTGCCAATCGTACAGAGCATGGATAGAGTGCTCTGCCCTTCAATTCTCATCCAAGCCGATTATTCGGATCGCAGGTAACTTGGTGCAGGACTTGTCCAAAGAGACAAATAATACTGTGCAGATAGATCAGCAAGCTCCTGAAGCCCTGACATGTGCCGAACGCATTAGGCCTATATTTACTTGAGATGGCATTTTTTGAACTTCTTGTTTAGCTAGGAAATACGATATATTCAGCGACTTTGACGATTTGCTGTCGTGTTTACGAATGGTTTCATTTGACTGCATCTCAATTCGCGGTGTTCGAGCGATTCACACAATGGTACGGCAAGGTGAATGAAGAAGCTGTCGCCTATGTGCAGAATCACGCCTTTTTCGAGTTTGCTTGTGGAGTCGGAAAAGCAGGTTTATCCTTCAGTCACTTGCAGAAAGACAAGCAATCCTTTTTAGTTGTGAAGTGGTCATCAGTCAAAGTACAGAACTTCTGATGTTAACGCAAGGAACGCACTCATGGTGAAATTGAAAAGAATAGTAGGCTTCGCCGTAGTCTGTGAGAATGCTTAACACATTGAGAACCATCGGCCCACGGTGCTAGCGCCTCCCGCCGCCCGCGGCAGCGAGCAGTCCTGTAGCGAAGTGGGCTTCGTGGCGAGAGACGGCAGTACGACGCACTCGTCACTAGGAATGCTCGCCGCCGAGCCGCCGTGTGCGACGACAGAGTAGGACAAGCGCCGTGAACGTGAGCCAATGGTCTTCATTGAGGTGTTATGATGTTAGAATAGTGCAGAGTGGTGTGCAAAAACGCTTGCGTCAGCTGGGATTCGAACCCAGATCTCACTCTTTCCGGGAGCACGTGCTGAACCGTTACACTACCGACGCCCGTTTCGCACACTACTCTTTCTACGCTACAGCGCGTTATTTGTCAACAGCCAACCGTCTACGGTCTGGCGTGGGCGGCCGCTATGGACATTGGATCGACTTATGTTGACAGATATTGGGTATTAATAACCAGTCAGAATTCATTTTATTTGACCCCTACGTACGGTGTTATGATGTTGCAAAATACCCAGTAGTGTAGAGCGGTGTGCAGAAGAGTGAAATCTGGATTCGAATCCCAGCTAAAGCAAACGTTTTGCACATCACTCTACACTACTGGGTATATTGTAACATCATAACACCGCAAGTGGCGGCCAAATAAAATGAATTCTGATTGATTATCAGTACCCAATATCTGTCAACATAAGTAGGTTCAATGTCGATAGCGGACGAAACGGGTGTCGGTAGTGCGACGGTTTAGCATGCGCTCCCGGAAAGAGTGAGATCTGGGCTTGAATCTCAGCTGACGCAAACGTTTTTGCACACCACTCTACACTACTAGGTCTCCATTGTGTTAAAGCCTTGCCAAAGTTGTTACGTCAGAGCCATAGGTACGTTTTGGCGATGTCGTCCGCTTCATCAGTGCTAGTAACAAATAGTGATAAATAGCACAAGTTAAGTGGAACAGTGATAAAAAATGGTGCCAACACAATATCATGTGCACTATGACCATAGAGGACGTCTTCCCATCCCTGCTATAAAGTAGGGTCAGTGTGGTGCGTAGGCCACTTAAGAAGCGGGCGACACCACCGAAACGTACGTTTGACTCTGACGTAACAGCTTCGGTAAGGCTTTTAACATTCGCAGTGACTATATTGATTGTTTATAGCGAGGTTCAAAGAGCAATCGATGAGGTAGATTGGGCTTCAATACTAAGTCGGCAATGCTTGAAAGGATGAGTGTATTAAACTTATTGCTACACTTTCTAGAGCAAATCAACGCGCGCGAATAGGTCCCGATTTTCAAAAGAATGTGTATTCGATCTAGTAAAATATGAGGGAACTATATTTGATCTGATATCTGTTTGACAACGAACGCATATGAGACTGTCTTACTGAACTTTTTGTAGTTAACATGCAAATCACAGTAAACATTTCCACCCATTCCTTGTTTTCTCTTTGAGCCAAACAAAAGGTTTTTATAGTTGAAATTGTTCAAACAGCTGACGTTTCGGCGGTTTGGCTTTCAATCTATCCGATAACGATTACATTGCGATGTGAGATTGGAAGCCAAGTAACAAAAATATCCTCGTTCAACCTATTCTCTCACCTCTCACATACAAAAAAAGAAGCCCTGCGAAAAACATGTTTCGTACAATTGGCAGTGTGTATACTGGAAGAGCAAAAATTGAATCCGTGGAACCGGCTCGGGAAATAGACGTTTCTGAGTAGAGGAAATGACGCGCCACCAAACGACAATCTCCAACGAAAGCGGAGTCCCTTCAATCCGTCCCTCGTTTAAAATGAGATAAATACAGCTATAAAAGTTATTTGAAAGTGTAGGTTTAGAGAAATCGGTTATGATTGTTCGGATACCATCAATTACTGAGACGCCAAGTAGTTTCGAATCGCTTATGCGATCGTCTTTGTACAACGCAAGAGTGCAAAATATGCTCGCACAGTAGACATGGCAATTGAATGAGCATAGGGAGAGTCAACCTCATATCTGGCAAAGCTTGTGGTGAGGATACATTGGCGCAACGGGTAGGCCCTTCTGTGCCAGCATAAAAGATTACTTAAGTGGCAAAGACAACTCTAGACAAGTATACCGCTAGGCTTACGTTGAATACAGATGCATAACGGAGTAAATTTCGAAGTGCATCACCATTCACCCACAGGAGCATAAGTCGTCAGCACGTAATATTTTTGAAGGGTTCTCGACAAAAATCAGCAATCCAAGCATGAGCCGCTAGGTGGAATGCCTTGTAATCTACATATGGTCCAAGGCAGTTTATAAGACAGATCTCTTGAGCAAGGAGTTACATTAAGAGCCCATGTGATCTCTGCGCGCTGATCTCCACTTAATGAACTCAGTGGAAATTTCATAAAAAAGGTGTGTTTGTTGAGGGCTACTTTTTGCGCTTGATACGACTGAAATTTAGAATTTGTGACTTTTTTCCTGATGAAGTAATGGAAGTATTTGGCAGACTGTGCTGTAAAACAACATCATCTGTCTAGACTCTGAAGAAGGCTAAACCATGTAAATGTCAAATGTTTGAATAAATAGTAATAGGACTTCTCATAAGTTTGCGCACTAGAGCAATAAAAAGGAAATTTTAAACAGATTCAATTAAAATTGCTTCACACCTCTATTCGAAAAATACATCATCAGCCTGAGCACATTTCCGCCATTTCTTCAATAGTCAAATGCGGATCCTCATCAATTGCTTCGATGACAACCTCTCATCGACTTACTCTGCATGGACGTCCGGAATGCAGCTGGTCCCTCAGATTGGCGTTACTGGCGCTAGACTTAGCAAAGAACTGAAAAGCTGCCTGGACACAAATCCTTTGCACGGTTGATGTTGACGTTCTCGAGGGTCGTTTATGCATCGCGTTACAAATCCTGCTCTTGAAGCAGCATATTGTGAAAAAGGCATAGTTGAGCGGCCATGATGCGGCAAGTATGAACAAATATGATACCAAAAAGAAAGCTCAAAACATTCTGCGGAGCAGTATAGATTTGTTGCCTGAGGGATGACAGAAATGTCTTTAGGCTCATGGCACGTACTTCAATTAATGTTGTCGAGCAATTTCAATAACTTCTGGTTGATAAAGCTGGTGTTTATTGCTGAAGTGCCAAGCTTATGAGAAGACCTAATACTATGAAAACCTCGTATTTGGCTCAAAAACAAAAGCAGAGAATCATTAGAGAATGCTAAGGTCAATGGATGAATGCATAGTCTGCATTGGGACCTTTACCAATACCAAGGTGGAGATCTCACCAACGAATGTATCTCCGACTAGTTATTTCAGTGTTATGTTTGCCTTGCCAAATTTTTTGTATTGAGTCGCTACCTCTTCAGAAAGGTACCAGACGCTTTTTCAATGCTGTTTCTCGCTATTTTACAGTTTAGAAAAAGCCTTTTTTATTGTAAGTAGTTGACGTTTTTTAGAGCTGTTAGGTCTAGTGCTACACAGGTACCTGTTTCGTCCTATTGCGACTCATCCTCCCTCCGTTAACATGTTATATCCTTATCAGATTATATCATTTTGAGCGAGTTCATAAAAGAGTGGTCTTTAGAAGAGATATGATTCATGTAGCAGCTATGAGCTTGACTGCCGGTCACCACAGTGTCAGGTAACTCCATCATCTGACTTGGGGTGATTTAAATCGGCGTCGATTCTTTTATAGAGGATGTTTGATCTCAGGGGATCGGCTGAACCGAGGGAAGGTGCTACTGATGAGTCCCAGTAGGCCGAAACAGGCACCTGTATAGCACTAGGCCTAACAGCTCAAAGCATGTTATAAACCTTTTTTCTTGGTTATTTTCTCTTCCATTGCCGACTTCAAATTAGGTTTTCATGAGGTTCAAGTGCAAAAGCAAAATCATAGATATCAGAAAACGCAACTGCTGTTCAAATTACATTTTCATCAGTTCATTGCTAAGGACCACTATGTGACTTTTAAACACTGTTTGTTATGGGAGTTGAAAATGAGGAATACAACATAAAAAATAATTGATAATTAATAGGGAGCTCATAGGAAGGTCAATGTGAAATATGCGCCTATAATGTTTTTTTGCTCAGAGTGATGAGAAATTTCCAGTTTTTCTTGCCAATCACGACTGCCTCTCGCGAGCATTTAATGTCCAGTCGCTCCACCTCAACGCATAAATAATTGTTTACCTGGTGATTCCGATATGTGCACGTGAGTTGAAAAGCTTTTGAAGTAAAGACAATCATTCAATGGCATTGAAAACAAGAATTTCTTTTAGAAAACGATCATTATGATGGATACAACAATAGTATTCCTTTCTGTCCACGTACATTCCTGAGCAGCTTTTTATGAGGTTTTGAAGTGAATCACCAATTTCGCAGCTATAAAAGATTAAGAGTCCCTACTTTATTTGAACATCCAAATTCAGGATTCTGAAAAAATTAACCACTAGATTTTTATTAGGGTAGCCACAGAATCAAGAACGGAGAATAACAATTGATTTTCTATTTTAGACGGGCCATTCGAGCAGTGGATTGCATCAAGGATTCGCTAAGTTTACAATGTTCGACCAGGTGCCGGCTCTGCAGCTTGTTTTGCGGCTAACGAACATCGCTTTAAGAGCTAAAGAAGTGAGCCCGATGTGTATTCAGGAAATGAACCTGAGATTGTTCATCAACTTCAATTCTGAAGTGGATTACAGTTATCTGTCTCATTCTACCACCATTATTCCTCATTGATTGTCAAACTGAATACGAGCACTAGAACTTTTCTTATGCTTATGAATATAGCAAAACGGAAAGAAGTTCTTGTCGAGTGTGATTCTTGACCTGTAATAACCTCCAAAAGTAATTTAATCCTAGAAAATCTTGCTGAAGTGCGTATTTTTTTTCTTATGGTTGAGTCGCTCCAAGCTCTCATCACAATACATTAACAATAACGTGGAAACTGGTATGAAATTTGAAATAAAAAGAAAGACGCCCGTCAAAAGGGTTGGAAAGTGTTTTGAGTTCTCAAGCAGTAAGAATTGCACTGAATGCAGGCTTTACTATTGGCTGAAATTATTTAGATATAAGCACAATTAGATAAGGTAGTTCTAATTTCACAGATTCTAGACTGAAAAAACCCCTTTGATAGGTTTTTGAGTTTGACGTAGTTTTTCACTTGAAAACTTCTTTTTTCCGTTGCTTTTTCCCGTTTGTCCAATGTAAATATTGTCCAACTGATTCCAGCCCATTCCGTCTAGCCGGCGTGGGGGGGGGGGTAAACCCCCGGCATTTGGGCCGTGAGATGTTGGTTGCTGTATGCTCCTTAGTCCCGCGAAAAAAGCGAAAATGGGGGTAACGGGGGAAAAAGTACGGGGGGTATTTAGCTCTCATTCGATGCGGGGCTCGTGTTTTTTGTGTGAGGAAGCCTTCCGTGCTCTCCCAGAAGCCGTATGTCTCTAGCAA